GCGTCTCAGCTTTATCATTGATACCTTATATTGTATTGGGAAGATGTTTTATCTCAAATTTGGTTAAATAAAGCATACTATTCCATTCAAAGAGTTGGAACTTGGTGGTGTACCGTTAACTTATCGTAGTTGATGGTATACTGCACTTACCATACCGCTAACAACCTTTAGTTAGCGGTATGGACCTCGTACCCCGTCCCGGAAACTACTACGAGTTAACGGACTAATCGAGTTAACGGAGTACAACATATATTATTATATGAAGCTGGCCAAATTATCATTATTAAATCTTATTTAATTCAGGTATATTCAAATCTATTATTATCACTACTAGTAGTACTGCAAATACTATCATATCTATCACTATATATCAATCTTAAATCCTTGTTTTTATCAGTGGCAATGGTTTCTTTCGATCGTATCTTGTAATTTCCCCATATCATCGTAGAGTGCCCTTAACAACCTTGATCTTATTGTTTACAAAACAAAGTAATTAAACAAATGAAATTAAAGAACATTAACAATCACAATAACATTTTTTTGAATTTTTTCATTACTCAAATCATCACTAAACTTGGGATATTATCATCATTGCAATTTGCCGCTGCATCTTAAATATTAAATATGTCAAAAAGAAACTATACATCAACTCCATTACAAGATATTAATCACACTTCATCATCTGATTCTATTGTTTCACCAAGCTCAAAAAGACAAAGAACTGGTAACGATGCTACAAATAACACATTTAAACCATCCAAAGAAGACATTGAATGGGTTAAATCAATAACATCAAGATTCGATTCGTCGTCATCGTTAGAAATTCCCTTTTCAACATTTTTAAATTATGAAGAAGATGAAGTTGGAAAAAAAGAAGGAAAAAAGGACCAATCTAAGGATGATGAAGAAGGTGAAGGTGAAAAGCAAGATAAACAAGTGAAAGTTGTTTATGAAACAGGTGATGATGAAGATTCACAAGAAAATCCACAAGGTAATTATGAAGATATTCCAAAGGAAAATTTACTAGATAATGAAAAAGGTTATGAAAAAGATAATGAAGATGATGATGATGATAAAGATGATTATGATGATGATGATGATGATGATGATGATTTACAAGGTTTTTATAAATGGAGCGTTAATGATTCAAGAAAAGATAACGATGAAAATAATAAAGAAGAAGATGATGATGATGAAGAAGATGATGATGATTTACAAGGTTTTTATAAATGGAGCGTTAATGATTCAAGAAAAGATAATGATGAAAATAATAAAGAAGAAGATGATGATGATGAAGAAGAAGATGATGATGATGATGAAGAAGATGATGATGATTTACAAGGTTTTTATAAATGGAGCGTTAATGATTCAAGAAAAGATAATGATGAAAATAATAAAGAAGAAGAAGAAGAAGATGATGATGATGATGATGATTTACAAGGTTTTAACAAATGGAGTGTTAATTCAATGTTTGCTAAATTTAAACAAATTACAAAAGATCAATTTCTTTCAAAAAAATGATTCTTAAAGTTATTTCATTAATTAAATATAAATCATATCCAATGCACTAGTGTTCTTGTCAAGGATTTATTAAAATTATCTTTACTAATATATATATATAGCTATTTATAAATGAATAATTTGTTATATTTCAAAAATTCTTACATCATGGTCGATATCTTACAATCTTGAAAAAATGTATAATTTTTTTACTAATTATCTCCTCTGAATTTTGAAATATTGATGCACAGTATTGTACTCTTGGATGTCTATTGAATTAATGATGCCCCCAATTTATGAATATCTCTAAGACCCAGGTAAAACAATAAGATCCATAGCCATGAGTACTTCTATCATTTATCTTGAATTTCTATTATTTGATAATACGTGTGACAAAAACCCAAGCTTTTAATCACTTTCAAAAACCATCAACAAAAACAGCACTTGATAATAGGGTACATGTACCAGCTTTAAACAGCAACAGTTAATTTTTCCATATAACGGTTCTTGTTTTTTATGTTTAATTCAGGAGTTGTGATGATTAAAGCCCAATACCATTAATTTTTGGTTCTTAATGCATGTGATTTATGGTAATTGTGACGGACTTCTGTGATTTGGAATAACGGATTGTTGTTGTTGCTGTTGAGGCAAAAGTGGTTGTTGTTGTTGTTGTGATTTGGGTTTATTCTTCATTGACCAAAAATACATGATCTTCACCATAAGCAGCAGTAGATTGGAAATTCTTGTGAAGTTGAATCCAGTTTAAAATTAGAATTACCTTGAGTACTTGCTGTATTTGAAGACAAAACATCTAATTTTTTGATGATAACAAATGGTTCAATATTGAGTGACTGAAATTTTTAAACTCTTGTACAATATTTTTGAATCAAAGTTATAATAAAGCTTCTCCAACATATGAATAAATGCTCAATATTCAAGAATTTGGGAATTTAAAAACTTTAGATTTGTTCAATAATTTCAAAAACAAATGGAGCTACCCAAATGTAAGTTTTTAACATCTTTTTCTTCCATAAGTGAATCTTTCAAAACGATACTCATTAATTGTCAATACAATTCTATCAGTGATTGAACAACTGATTTAATTCTTTGAAGGACCAAATAAGTGACAAACAGAATCCAATTATTGTAAGTTTAAAAAGAAATTTTCATCAGTAAGATTGTCAACCAACATTAATAGAAATCTTTGAGAAAGTACAACAGTACTTGCCTTCAGTAAAATTTGAAATGTTCAACAGCTTTGATTGATACTTTTAAATGTTTAAAACTTTTTGAGATCATCTAATTGGAACCGTAATATCCGTATCAATACGTCTTAATATAAGCACAAGTACTTCGTGGTTAATCTGAATCAAATTCAATCGTAAGTTTTAATTCTGAACTAAAAGTATTGAACCCTGAAATAATTATTTATATGATCTTGCTTATGTAATTCATTAGTAATATTAATTATCACCATTATGATCACTCAATTAATTTAACCTTTAGCTATACGTTTTTAAGGTTTAGAAACTGATTTTATATATATTCAATATTATATTTATTTATATTTTCATTAATAGAATAGCTTAAAATCAAACTTTAATTATAAATTTTCAATTTTTTAGATTAATTATATTTTGTATTTAAAATAAATTTTACAACGTCGTCAGATTATATTATATATATTATAGATCGATCGAATTTTCATAATATATTCCAGAATAATACTAGCTATCGATAATTCAAACAGCTTTAAAGTTTATACTCATTTAAATGTTATAATATTAGTGAATATATATATACCATTAGTTATAGCCCATTATAACTAGTAGTAGTATGCTTAGTAAGGACTTACATAATACAATACAAAAAAAGAAAATTCAAAATTTCAAATTCTCTTGATCTACTCAAACATCATCCATTACTATTACAAAAAAAAAATATCAAAAGAAGACACCTGTTATACACCAATTGCTGGTCCAACTATTCCTTTCAAACAATCTTCAATGATCTAAGCAAAGTGCTCAAACTCTTCTGTTTCCTCAATCCATCATCACCATCATCACCAGTTTCAACATCTTCAACATCCCAATCAAATACTCCAATAGAAACAACTTCAGACTATGATAATTCTTTAAACACCAGTATCAGACCCAAGTGTTTATCAACTGGTAAATGGTTAAATGCTCCTATATTTATCAACAAATACAACAAATTCAAACACAATTACTGCTAATAACATATCTACAAATACAAAAGTTGACCCAAAATAGTTTCAATATCTTTTGAGGGCTCTGGCTCAAACCAACCTGCTACACCTGCTACAGTAATGATCTTCAAATCAAAATTTTCAAATTTATAAGTGATATTACCATCCAATGGACATCAAAAGTCTTTATCAATTTCACAACAACAGAATGGTTCAACTTCAAAACATCAACAACCACTGCTGAATTCGTTCCATTAACGTTGTTATTCAGAAGATTCTAATGTTTTGCATAAATCAGCTTAACAAGATAAGAGAAATCATATGAAACAAACCATAATGGAATTGGGTGATTTAATTCCTAGTACTTTACATTAAACAATTTACAATAGCTTTAAAAATGATAACTGTTGAACAAGAAACAAGATATATTTTGGAATTGAAAGAAGAAAATAGAAGATCATAAGAAGATATGTTACGTGATTAAAGTGCTAGTCCATTAAAAACAGAATATTGTTATGGTGTTATGGTACAATGAAGACGGTGTTCAATGAATTTTAGACAATTTAAAGATGCATATTTTGAATGAAGTTTGTTAATCAGTCATTTATATTATTGTATTAGATATTACAGTGGTCTCTCAATAAACATGTTCTGATTGGAAAATGTCACATTTTAAACAACTCATGGAGATTTCAATGGTCCACTTGTTTGAAACATGGAAATGCTGTTACAGGTTATCACTGAAGTTGTTTAATGTCATAAAGTTACTCAACCATTTGAGTTTAATTAACTGGGATGACACAAAGTACTTGGTAAATGTTTGTTAATCATAAAACCTGTGGAGAATTATTGGAATTAATTAAAGAACGAAAATACCATATACAACAAAGATTGAATCTCATTCGTTTTCAAAAAATTAAAAAAATGAACTAAAATATGTATACTACATGGTTTAATGTTTACAAATTCATTCATTCATTTATTCATTTATTAATTCATATGATCAAAAAGTTGTAATCAGCAATATCCAATTCATTAGCAGCGGTTATATATTCAATATTCAAAATATAATTAATCAAACTTCAGAATCATCATTATCACCATCTCTTTGACGTCTTAGTTGATTTTGGTATTGGATTTCAGATCTTATCATCATTCTTGCATATTCACTATTGTAGTTTTCACATTTGGTAACTAGTTTCATTGATTTTTCATTTTCAACTTCTTTCAATATGTGTTCAACGTTTTCATCAATTGATTTATATTTGACGGTATCCAAATGTTTACCAATGTTATGATAAATACGTTCTAGGATACTTGAACTCTTGATAATAAAGACATCATCAAACATGGAACCTTCTTTTCCTTTAAGCATGACTTTTAACCGCTCAATTCTTCTTCTTGGTCTTAGTTTTGGACCTTCTATTAAATTAATTTGGAGTTTAGATTTGAAATGAGTTCTAAGTAATGCATCATCTTGCCAATCACTCGAGACCATATCCCTCCCTTTATATTCTTCTTGTGTATATAAAGATTGCTTGTATCTTTGAAATTCATCTCTTTCTCTGAAGTTGATTTTTAGTTTTGGTTCTTTGATAAGATAACCATGGTCGTGATCTGTAAAATATTGGGTATCCATCTTTTGATGAATTTCAAAACCCTCAAGGGTAAATGAGTTAAGCTGGAATGCTTGCTTAACTTCTAAACATGCCTGATAGCATGATTTTCTTCTCAATTGACGTTGCATTGTAAATTTTTGATTTAAATAGAGTTAAGTATGGCGGCTATTGTTAAAGTAAATCTTTAGGAATTAGTCAATTTATATATCCGATAATTATCAACAACTTTCAAATCCTACAAACTTACAAAGCACAACCAGATACATATCTCAAAAGATTTTCATGAGCACAGAATAGGGGTGTATTGATTACTACTTACCTGACATCATTCTTCGATTTGAACTAATAGTAAGCCAAGCGCTAGGGTTATACTCGATGTCAATTGGCACTTTAACACAGCGGCTAATCATAATGTATAATCATAATGTATAATCATAATGTATAATCATTTGATTGGTATATAAGTACATTCTACATTTATATATATATAAGCAGTTACTCTTATATCTATATTTATACAAGCTATTATGAACAAATATGGTGTCTATTTTTAAACTTGTTTACCACCAATGAATTCACTCCAACGGTGAACTTCTTCAAGTATACAATAATTTTACCATCTCTTTGGTTAAATTTTACACCAACTTTAGCAAATAATGCTTTAGCAAATACTAATAAAGTTCGTGGCTCATTGGATAATGAAATATACCAGAATAAATTCCATCAAGTCTCATAACTTGAATGAAACTTCAGCTGGCTTTAGCTAAATTGAAAATACTACTCAAATCATATTTTTGGAAACCTTCACGTAATGCTCTCTTATTAGCTATGAGTAATTCAACAATATCAACCGCATTACCTTCAGGTAAATAAGCTTTAGAATATTCAGTTAATTCTGGTGATGCATCTGTGTAATACTTATAACCTTCTGATGGGAATTGTAAGGCAATTTGACCTAAATTATCGTTGTTCAAGCCACCACCAAATAAGATATCACTTGGAGGTAATGGTGAATGGAAATTCCTTGTTGATTGTAACGCGATCCAGTAAACTCTTATGACATGTTTAAACTGCAAAATTTAATGAAAGTTGTACCTGGAACCCCTGGAACGAATGAGAAAAATCTTGAAGCTCTAATAATGCAATCAATAAAAATTTCTATATTTTGGCTAAATGATTTGGATTGGTTTCAACATCAGCTATAATAATTTGCATATTGAAAGGACCTGTGATATTCCATGGCGATTTCTTTAAATCTATCCATAACATCTTGAGAAAAGTTTTGTGGTGGTAAAACAAATGTAGCATCACCTGAATGAGTACCTGCATTCTCAACATGTTTTAAGACAGCGTGAACTAAAACTTTACCATTAGCTGCAACTGAATCAGCATCAATTCCTTGTGCACCTTCAATGAATTTGGAAATAGCAGCTGGATTATCTGCTAAAACGTTTAATGCGTTGCCTAATTCATGCTTTAGTTCATCTTAGTTTCTAATCACAGACATAGAAGCACCTGATTAAGCATATTATGGAGGAACCAGAACTGGGGAACCAACATTTTCAGCCATTTATTTAGAGGCTTCAATATATAATAATTCATTCCATTCTGGTTGATCAACTCCTATGGAATCCAGGATCAAAGAGATGAAGATCTTCTGCCTTATCAACATCTTGTGAATTTGCACTCAAAACTTTAGCACCGTGATCTTTTAAGGTTGATTGCAGTTTTTAGGTTAAAATCAATCATGATTGTCTTTCTTCCTGGATCTCTTAAAACTCTTGCTGTAAAAGCGGCACACCAATCAAGTTCAACCGATGAACCAGTAGGATAAACAGCTGAACCTCCAAACCATAGTACCAGATTCATCAAGTTCATCAGATTTAACATCATTTGATCGTACATCATATGTTGTGTATAAATAAGCTGTAATTTTTGGGAATCATGTAGCTAATGTATCAACTTTCTTTACAAATTGAATGAAATCAAAATTTCTCCTTTTAACTCTGACTTCTAATCCAGTTGAACCAACAGCTAAGGCAATTTGTTCATCTGAAAGCCATAATTTCTTAGCTCTTGAAATAACACATCTATCTAAAGCAAATAATGAACCTTCTAATTCAAATTTTTGAACAACAGCTGGACAGTGACGATCTATTGGTTCTGCAAGTTCTTCACTTAAATTTTCAAATTCACCACCTTGAAACCAAACAAACGGTGTAACAATTTGACTTATAGCCTTCTGGAATGACTCTCCAAAATTACGACCAATAGCCATAATTTCACCAATAGATTTCATTGATGAGCCAATATCTCTTTTAACATATTAAAAATTTGATAAATCGCATCTTGGGGTTTTAGTAGCCATATAATCCAATTATGGTTGAAAATTTGCAGAGGTAGTTTTAGTAACAAGATTTGATAATTCAGGTATGACCAAGGGAAATTATAGCAGCATAGAAGCTAATGGATAACCAGTAGCATTTAAAACTAAAGCTGAAGATCATGATAAATGTCCATCAACTTCAATACCACGATATTCTAAACCAGCTAATCATAAGGCGTAAGGCATATTGAAGCATTCACCAACAACACCTAAATGTCTGACAATTGTTATACCTGAAGATCTCAACATACGATGTTATTCATCTGCTCAATTTTAAGATAGATCAGTAACCATTGAATGACCAGCATAAAATTTGAATACCTAAATGATCAAACTATTCCATATTAGAGGCTGTAATACAATTGCCAACATGATCTCTAAAAACTTTATACTGAACTTCTTTTCAGCTTTTTAATGATATTTCAACCAAGATTTATAGTGATAGAGATTGTGGTTCAGATGTTTAATTTGTCTTCATTTTTAGCAAAACCTGAACTCAGCATACCCAAGGCATAATTGCTGGTCTGATAATGACTGGATATCAGTTTCAGTGGGTTTTTAAAGCACAATCAACATTTTCAGCAGGATTTGAAGAATCAATTTCTAATAAAGTTTAAGCAAATAAATCTTTACCTTCTGAAGTTTTTTTAAGCCTTAATGTTGTATGATTTATCAAAACACACATCTCATCTAATTGACCACAAACATTCAAACTGTCATCAAGATTTAACAAGATATCATCTCGTGATTTTCCTTCAATGATATAAGTAATATATTGGACAAAAACTGGTGACTAATGAATCTAATCAGCTAAAGCGTGAGAAGTTTGGTATATCGCAATATTCGAATGAATAAGGATTGACTCTTCAGGAGCTTCTTTAAGGGCTTCAGTAACTTGAAAATTTGAATTACTTTGTAACAATTCGCGTAATACTCCACATAAGCGTGCTACGTACAAAATTCAAATTTCAAAACATCAAAAACAATTTTCCAATAAGATTTAATCTCCTTAATATTCCATATCCCATATCCCATATAGATTTGCCATTGAAGCTGCAAATTTTGATGTTCCCTCTATCTTGATTGCACACTGCAAACACATGTGTCCAAGTTCCATGATTTGACGAGTGAGTATAGAATGGTCAAATTACAAGTTTCCCATAGTTAAGCCTAGAATTTTAAGCATGTTTAATTAAGGACCACAGAGACGTTGGAATAACTATATTATACTTCGTGTCCCATGGATATGATGGATATATTATAGAACTGACGTTTCGGATATCAAAAGTATGATAAAATCATCAATTATAAATATATGTGTACTTCTTAATCTTTTTTGAAATATTTTTCAAGTTAAATGCTGTAGTAACTACAAACTATAAGCGCTATCATATTCTAGCAGAAGAAGCGCTATCAACACACGATATCAAGAGTACTCAGTACGTTGAAGCCACTTGATTTAGAAGTCTAGGAACTAGTGAGAATGGATGTTATGATTGTTATGCTGATTAGGAGAACAAGGGAATCAACTTATATATATCGTCTAAATTTTCCCATATAAGTCCATCATGTACGAATATCAACAGGCCACCAAACCAGCTCATAACAACGAACCTATATATAATTGAGACAATCTTTTTACACATGGCACTAAACGAACGATTCTCTTTACATAGACACCAAAAACTTAGCTTCTTCCTTGGATAGTTTAGCATTTGGGCTTAGTTAAACCAGTGTACCGGAAATCGCGAGCTCGACTAGTGCAAATTTCAACAATTCAAATTTCAATCTTTCAAAATCATATAATAATCAACCAAAACAATCATCATGATCAACATACGCAACACCAAGCTCAAACTCAAGATCAACAATGGACATCATTCAATCCCACCAACTACCTAATCCTCTGATCCTACAAACTATGCAAACCATCCAACTTCTTCATTTATACAAGATTTCCAATTTCCCCAGCTAGGGATTCAAACCCATCAAATATTCAAAATCAAACTTGAACAAGGCCAGAACCAGATGTATATGTCTTTACACCTTCAGTATCACCCACAGTTACTCCATTAGAATCAATAATCAATAAAAATCAAAAACACATCTCTTGATGTGAGTCAAGCTACTCAACACCTCAAACACCATCCGTTACAACAACAAAATATCAAAAGAAGACACCTGTTAATACACCAACTATTCCAACTTCTAAACAATCTTTAATCACCAACGCAAAAAGATCAAGCTCTTGTGTTCCCCCCATCCATCATCAAAGCTTGTGGATGTTCAGCATCCCAATCAAATACTCCATTAGCAACAACTCCAACCTCAGGTGATATGAAATGACACCATTAACAGATCCAAGTGTTGATCAAGTCTCAAATTGCTCAATGGCACCACCATCATCACTAAATACAACAAAATTGAACACAACTGATATATTTTGGAATTAAAAGAAGAAAATAGAAGATTATAAGAAGGTATGTTCTGTGATTAAAGTGCTAGTCCATTAGAAACAAAATAATGTTATGGTCAATTGAAAAAGGTGTTCAATCATACTTTTAAACTCAATTTTATTCAATTCAATGAAGGTTTATATTGAATGAGGGTTGTTCATCAATCATTTAATCTACAGATGTAGGTGGTTTTTTAAACTTCGTCAATCTTCAAGTTTAATAATTTAAAATGATAGTCAACCAATTGAATTTTATTTTGAAGTTGAATAAGCCAATAAACTATTCTGATTGTTTCGAAAACATCGACAATACTGTTATAAATTAGTCAATTAAAGTTCCAAATTCACCAATAATTCAAATAATCATTGGATAAACTATAAATAGATAATCAAATGGTTTCATGGATGTTTACTTATTCAAATATATGATCAAAAAATTATTATTAGTATTCAATTAATTAGCAAGTTAAAGTTAAGATATATTAATTCAAAATATAAATATGGATAATGAACAATAATAGATGATTAGCAAATGTTTAACATGAATTTTATCTTTTCAGATCAAGGTTATCTAGTGGATTTGTTAAGTTTGTTGAATTATCGTTATCAACTGGAAAAATCTCACTTGTGCTCAATTTAGAGATTTGTAACATACTCATATCATCTTTTGTTGCATCGGCCATTTCTTGATCACTATCAATAGCTGATTCTAGAAAAGATTCACCAGCATCTTTCATATGATGATCCTGAATTACTGTTGATTCTGAATGGACTGTTTGATCAATATTGTTTTTCTCCAGTTCATCACTTGTACCAACATCTAATCCACCATTATAATTCATGGTTTCATTTACATTACCATCAGATTTACGTGACTTGTTACCTCTATCAGTGTCAGTATCTTTATCATTGCTATAATCATATGATGGTGAATTATGATTGAATTCTTCATTTTCTTTTCCAATTTCTTCTTCTTCAACATGAGTTTCTTGATCACCTCGAGAATCATTATCAGGTTCCAAATTAACCACACCAGAATGATCCGTATTTTCATTTACATTACCATCCGATTTACGAGAATCTTCAGCACAACTATGAGAATCAAAGGAATCAAACTCGATATTGTCATTTTTATAGTAGCTGTCCTGATCTATTTCATCATCATTGACAAAACCAACACCATGATCAATATTTTTCTCTCCATCATCACCACTCTTTTGAGATTCATTATCTTGTTCATCAGCAGATTTACCAGAATCTTCAGCACAACTATGAGAATCAAAGGAATCAAACTCGATATTGTCATTTTTATAGTAGCTGTCCTGATCTATTTCATCATCATTGACAAAACCAACACCATGATCAATATTTTTCTCTCCATCATCACCACTCTTTTGAGATTCATTATCTTGTTCATCAGCAGTACTTCCAGAAATTTGAGCTTGTGCAGAGTCACCACCATCATCAACACCATTATGGATCTCTCTATCATCATAATATCGGACATTATTATGACTGTGAATAGTACTTTCAGTAACTTGAGCTTGTGAATTATCCCCACTCGATCTGACTTCATCTTGATCACTAGTGTTTTGTTGCTCAACTTCATTTAGTTCTTGGTCATTTTCTTGTCTGGTCATAATCCGTAACATGTATCTTAAATATTCTGGGTTGTAGTTTTTGCTTTTTGTAGTGGATTCTATACGGGCTTCTGTCTTTTTCATTAAGTCATCATCTAATTCTTTACCAGCCCTTATGTCCTTTAAAACACCAACAACCGCTGTATACATTGATTTCAACATTTGGTATGGATTTTGTACTGTGGCATCCTCAAATGTCTGATCATCCTTTTTAATCACAATTTTGATTGGTCTCATTCTCATGCCATTTCTATGGATTTTTTGTAACGTGGATAATTTAATGTATTTGAAATATTGATCTTTCATTATGTTTATTTCATCAGGTGGTATTGACTTACCCGAGTATTGAATCATTGCACTTTTATATCTTTCAAATGCATCAGTAATTTCATACTCGATTTTAATACATTTATCTTCAATGAGATATAAAAAGTCAAATATGGTAAAATAAAGAGCCTTATCCAGTCCATCCATATGCATAGCTCTACCAAACTTTGAAAATGATTCAAGCTGGAAGTATCTGATAACTTTCATAGTCACTTCTTCAGAACCCCAATCTCTTAAATATTCTCTCTCCATCTGAAGCTTTTCAATTATAATATCTTATGATGTAACAAGAACGTATGGCGGCTTTATTGTTAAACTATTTTTACGGAGTCAATTTATGGTATCACCGATAATTACCCTTCAAGGGCGGAGATTGGCGGAAAGTGACGATTTATTGTTGGTTTTATCATGATACGTTATCTGATCCAGTAATTCCAATTAGAGTAGACGGTATCATGATTCATTACGTTAACGCTAGAGTTGGAATCATAAAATAAAAGAGATTATTTTATACAGCATAATAATAACTGAAGCTCTTGTAGTTATATATGATAACGCAATTCAGATTTTAGATCTTAGCTGATCAAACATGCATATGTTCGATCGATGATGATCCTATAAAAAACACGTATTGCATTTGCCAGATGGCCTGGCCACCATATTCTCATTGATCTTCTTGAGCACAGGATCATAAGAGTATAATGACTCTTCTTTTACTTTCAATTAATTTATGTTAATAATAAGTAATGCGTTAGGTTCTTACGTTCATTGTCACCTTTTATTTTGACCAAGCAGCTAATTATTACCATTATCATGATGGGTGTACTATACTTTACAACTTATATATATATATATATAATACTCTTCTATTTATATTTTATACAAGTCATATAATATTGGATGAGATTACGTTCATTTTTGAAACTGTTTATTAACAATGAGTTCACTTCAGCGTCGACGAACTTCTTCTAGTATAATAATTTCACCATATTTTCGATTTAATTTGGTACCACCATAGATCAGCATATAGCAATGAAGTTTGTGGCTCATTTAATAGTGGAATATACCAAAAAGAATTCCATCAAGTCTCATAACTTGAATGAATCTTCAGCTGGCATTAGCTAAATTGAAAATACTACTCAAATCATATTTCTGGAAACCTTCAAGTAATGCCCTCTTATCAGTTATGGGTAATTCAGCAATATCAACCAAATTACCTTCTGGTAAATATTCTTTAGAATATTCAGTTAATTCTGGTGACACATCTATGTAATACTTATAACCTTCTGATGGGAATTGTGAGGCAATTTGACCTAAATAATCGTTGTTCAAGTCACCACCAAATAAGATATCACTTGGAGATAATGGTGAATGGAAATTTCTTGTTGATTGTAACGCGATTCAGTAAACTTTTATGACATGTTTAAACTGCAAAGTTTGATGAAAGTTGTACCTGAAACCTCTGGAACGAATGAGAAAGATCTTGAAGCTATAATAATACAATCAATAATAATTTCTAGATTTTGGCTAGATGATTTGGATTGGTTTCAACATCAGCTATAATAATCTGCATACTGAAAGGACCTGTGATATTCCATGGTGATTTTTTTAAATCTATCCATAACATCTTGAGATAAGTTTTTGTAGTGGTAAAACAAATGTAGCATCACCTGAATGGGTACCTGCATCTTCAACATATTTTAAGACAGCGTGAACTAAAACTTTACCATTAGCTGCAACTGCATCAGCATCGATTCCTTGTGCACCTTCAATTAATTTGAAAATAGCAACTGGATGATCTGGTGAAACGTTTAATGCATTGCCTAATTCATGCTTTAGTTCATCTTAATTTCTAATCACTGACGTAACAGCACCTGATTAAGCATATTATGGAGGAGCCAGAAATGGGGAACCAACATCATCAGCCAATTCTTTAGAAGCTTCAATATATAGTAATTCTTTTCATGGTGGTTGATCAACTCCTATGGCATTCAAGGCTGAAGGGAATTTATAAAGATCCTCTGCCTTATCAACCTCTCGTGGATTTGCACTTAAAACTTTAGCACCGTGATCTTTTAAGGTTGATGCCAGTTTTTAGGTCAATATCAATCATGATTGTCTTTCTTCCTGAATCTCTTAAAATTCTTGCTGTAAAAGCGGCACAGCAATCAAATTCAACCGATGAACCAATAGGATAAACAGCTGAACCTCAAAACCATAGTACCAGATTCATCACGTTCATCAGATTTAACATCATTTGATCGTACATTATATGTTGTGTATAAATAAGCTGTACTTTTTGGGAATCATGTAGCTAATGTATCAACTTTCTTCAAAAATTGAATGAAATCAAAGTTCCTCCTTTTGACTCTGACCTCTAATCCAGTTGAACCAGCAGCTAAGGCAATTTGTTCATCTGAAAGCCATAATTTCTTAGCTCTTGAAATAACATATCTATTTAAAGCAAATAATGAACCTTCTAATTCAAATTTTTGGACAACAGCTGGACAGTGAAGATCTATTGGTTCTGCAAGTTCTTCACTTGAATTTTCAAATTCACCACCTTGAAACCAAACAAACGGTGTAACAATTTGACTTATAGCCTTCTGGAATGATTCTCCAAAATTACGACCAATAGCCATAATTTCACCAATAGATTTCACTGATGAGCCAAAATCTCTTTTAACATATTGAAAATTTGATAAATCGCATCTTGGGGTTTTAGTAGCCATTGAATCCAATTATGGTTGAAAATTTGCAGAGGTAGTTTTAGTAACAAGATTTGATAATGATGAATGTCCATCGACTTCAATACCACAACTAAGATCTAAAAAACAACAACACGACAAAATCAATACAAAGGATTTTTTAATGAAAGCGAAGTAGCCTAAGTCCTCTACCATATATCAAAAACATTCTAAAGTCATAACCTACCACGGTTGAACTATTCAGAGCTTGATGACTCAGTTCTAATGATTTGTAACACATGGACATGGAAAAACCAGAATGAAACAGCACAGCTATCCAAATACCAATAGAGAAGGTACATGATAATTTTCCATGTTCAACTTGAATTCTCATCAAATCCCAATGCGAAATCATGAATTAGTATAATTGGCGTAGTGGTTAGTGTAGCATTATACACCCAGAAGAAATAATTTGAATTTGTGGATATTTTATGTTACTAATATACTAATTTCGGAGGGTTTTGGTTTTGTGTTTTGTGTAAGTAAAATCAGCTTTATATGAATTATTACTACTGCAAAAACAAAACAACGTGCGATTATGTAATTTAACACGGTAGTTTTTTTTCAATGGTGCAGTATATTGTATACATGATAATGTAAGCCAAATCCCATAGTTAAGCGAAATCCCATAGTTAAGCCCGTATGACAAAACCAATTTAATACAGCATAACCTGCGACTTTTGT